AACTTTTCACCGTGCAACTGGTGCCGTGGGCGATACCATCCGCGAGAGGGGAGAGAGAGAGAGAGAGAGAGAGAGAGCGAGAGAGCGTGAGAGAGAGAGAGAGAGAGAGAGAGAGAGAGAGAGAGAGAGAGAGACGAGGCGAAGGGAGGTGAGGGCAAAAACGAATCAGAACACGAGAGGCAGAGAGGGTTGGACGAGGAAATATAGGAGCAACAAGATAAAAGCTATGAGTATTTTTAATTTAGTCAAGCAAGCTGTATTGCAGAAAATTGCTGAGCCTGTATATCTTGGTTTATTTTTCAGAAAATTTTGACTCTTCTTCCGGAACTTCTACACCGGCGATGGCAGTTCCACAGTATAGGTATGTATGTTTATAGACAGGCAATATGTAGGTTTCAATGACAGTTAAAATATATAGGTATGTATGTTTATCTGGCTTCAGCCACCTACATGGTAATGTCTAGAAGATTCAGGCAGTGATGTGGTTGTGACACTGCCACGCGTAAGTAATGCTATTCTTCTCGTATAAATTCCATTACAACTTAGTTACAAGACGACATGTATCTGCTCAGATATCTTCTACAGTGGAAACCAAATTCGTTTATGGCCAAGTTTGTTTTTCTAGCTTCATCCTGCGTGTGCACATGCATATAAAGTTTCATTAACAATAGCATCGGAGGCATAGTGGAATGTTTGTTATCATATTTATTATCATATTCTCCCTCATTTTACTAGCCAGAGGGGCACTATTAGCACAATTGTATCCACATGAGCACTATTACCTTTGTCCTAATCATAAGAATGTCACTACCAGTATTCTGTCCACTTATCAGTCACGTCTTTGGCAATTTAATGGCCACTGTGGTGAAGTGTCTGTTAATTTCCCTCTCCCCATTACAATGTTAGATTTTCCGTAACTTCTGCTAAAATATATTTCAGATGTTGGTTCATCGTATCTTCACTTTGTGTTTCTTGGTGATGAATGTTTTCGACTGTCTGGTTGCATTACAGGAAGAATAATGAAGAAGTTATTACATCCTGGCAATGCACTACGTGTGAGTATGCTATATACGTGTGTCTTCAGATGGTGGTGATGGGGGTGGAATATGAATGTGTGCATGTTGTGATGTACGTCCGTGTCTGTGAAATGTTTAGGTATGTATATATATGCTGGCTCTGATGCATGGATGGGTGTATCACGTATGTCGTATGCATGTCTATACAGATGGTTTAGCTAGCATAGACACGCATCCATGTACAAGTGCATGTGCGCATGGATCTCTGTGTAGGTGTGTGGTCTTAAGTGGGTTAGCTGGTACATGTGTGCACATGAACATTTATGCATTTGCATGAATGTGTATGTGTGTGCATCTGAGAATGCATGCATCTGTGCAAAAATATGTGCATGCGTGCGTGCGCATATGAGCATCATGTATCTGTGCTTGTACATGTACCGCTGTGCTTATGAACATGCATGTGTCTGCACTTGTATATGTACTAGAGTGCATATAAGCATATATTTGTTTGCAAGTGTATGTATATGGATGTGTATATAAAAGCATGTATGCATCTGTACATGTATCATGTCTAACAATGGAATTATAATACATACATACATACATACATACATACATACATACATACATGCATGCATGCATGCATGCATGCATGCATGCATGCATACATACATACATACATACATACATACATACATACATACATACATGCATGCATGCATGCATGAATCAATACATAGAAGCGTTAAGGGTGGGACGATTCATCTATGTCTAGATGTATCACGGTACAAACGGAAACCTTGACAATACACGAATCGATACTTTACTGAATAAAATCCATATTATTTAGTAGCATAGTTTTATCTAAATACAAAAGAAACATAACACAATTTGCAATCTTAGCTCCACTATACTGATTTGTAAGTGTTCACATGATTGAGAGAGTCCTGAATGAGCGTATGGTTTGCTAGGTAGTTTTTCTTAAAATTATTGCGATACGTATCGTATCTTGATGGCTCGTATCGTATCATTACCTACCAAATCGTCCCACCCCTAACGCCTAAGCATGTACGTCTTTGATCTACTTGCATGCACATCAGTCTGTAACTATGACCCTGTGTGCATCTTTGCGTGCACTGAGTTGTTACTGCGTGTTATTTAATTCTAGAACACAATTTAGTCCTATAGTCCATGTGTAATTAATTACCTTAGCACTCATGTTGTATGCAGAATAAGAATTTTTTTTCAATTCAAGTCATAAAAATATGGCATGGTCTTTTCAAGTACCCTAACATTCTATAGAACAGATATAGCAAACATAGAGTACCTAACGGACCTAACAATCAACGCTAATATGCTATAAAACGTAGATATATCAAACATAGACTGTCCAACAGCAAAAGTAGAGTACCTAACGGACCTAGAGAGACCTATATATAGGGGTAGAAATTAACTTTTGAACAAGAGAGTCCAACGGACTCCCTGCCCTCAAAAATAGGGAGTGCGTAGCAAAATGAGGGAGTCCGTAGTCTGAAGTTCAAAATTAAAGATTTGCTGAAAAAATACGGTAATTCCGCGAGGCTGTGCGCTGGAACGAACTAATTAGTATAGCAGAATTTTCAGGGAGTCACACGGACTCCTGCATATGTCAAATCAGGGAGTCCGACAGAAAATCAGGGAGTATTTGACTCCAGACTCGAGTTAATTTCGCACTCTGCCTATATAGAACCATAGAATAACCTAACGATCGACGCTAATATGCTATAAAACAGAGATATTAAACGTGGGCTGTTCGATAGCAAAAGTAGAGTACGTCAAACCTAAAGATCGTCACTAGTCGGCTTCCGCCTCGCGTGTTTCAGCTGCGAAACATAGAAAAATATATCGAATATATAAAATATATAGAAAAATATAGAACATAGAGATATCAAACATGGACTGTCTGACAGCAAACATAGAGTACCTAACGGACCTAGAGACACCTATATACACCTAACGTTCAATGCTGATCGGCTTTTGCATTACATTGTCATTGAATCATCTGTGTTTCAGCTGCGAAAGGAAGCCATGCGGCTGTTCCTCATCTGGTATCAGGTCCTCGGCGAGCGCAGCAGCGGCGAGCTCGACCTTATCTATGCAAGCCTCGTGCCAGGCTTCCCAAACCCATCCAACAGCAGCGGCGCGCACTCCCTCGAGAGCCTCATCAGCGACTCTGCGTACTCGAGCAGCCCCGTGTTCCACGACAGTGAGTGACGGCGGCAACCAAGGGGAATGTCTGAGGGGCAGGAAGGGAGGAAGCCCAGGGGCAGCTTGGGGGAGGCAACCTGGGGGCAGCTTCGGGGAGGCAACCCAGGGCAGCTTGAGGGAAGGCAACCTGGGGGCAGCTTCGGGGAGGCAACCCAGGGCAGCTTGGGGGAGGCAGCCTGGGGCAGTTTTGGGGAGGCAACCTGGGACTGCTTGGGGGAGGCAACATGGGGGTAGCTTGGGGGAGGCAAGCTGGTGCAGTTTGGGGGAGGCAACCTGGGGGCAGCTTGAGGGAAGGCAACCTGGGGCTGCTTGAGGGAGGCAATCTGGGGCAGCTTGGGGGAGGGCAACCAGGGGGCAGCTTGGGGGAGGCAACCTGGGGGCAGCTTGAGGGAAGGCAACCTGAGGCAGCTTGGGGGAGCACAACCTGGGGCAGCTTGGGGGAAGGCAACCTGGGGGCAGCTTGAGGGAAGGCAACCCAGGGCAATTTTGGGGAGGCAACCCAGGGTAGTTTTGGGGAGGCAACCTTGGGCAGCTTTGGGGAGGCAACCTTGGCAGCTTGGGGGATGCCCGGGGGGAAGCAACCCATTGGCAACTCTTGGTGGCGCCCGGGGGCAGGCTTGGGAGGGGGCAACCTAGTGATATGCACAGAGGGATCCTGGGGAGAGCAGCTTGTGGGTACGTTAAGAGAAGCCTGGGGGAGCCCGGGGCTATCTGGCAGGCACACTGGTGACAATACAAACTCCAGGCAAGTGACACATTTCAAGTGACGTGTATGAAAACACATCAAGGGTTTTTTGTCGCTCACATGTTCGTGCATGTGTCGTATCCAATGATTAGTGCTCATTCCTGCCACCAGGTGCCGTGTCTGCAGTGGAGATTCAGCCGATCCTGCCTCCACAGTCGGGAGAGAAGCAACTGGACAGTCCCTGCCATTATTTCATGGAATCCTTACTAGACTACTCCGTATCTCAGGTGCATATAGTAGATCTTAGCTGACAAGGTTATAGCTGGACAGGCATACTTGTCCATGGTTGTCTAATATCAGGTTTCTAGTCCATGGTACTATTGGGTCCTATTCTGTTCCTATTACATAGCCATAGCACATGGTCCTTGTACCTGGAATTTTTTTGGGTTCTATACTTGTTTGTGGTCAGCTACAAACAATTGCAAGGTTAGCTAGACTAGAGCAAAGTTAGCTGTAAAAGACTAGATCAAGGTCTAGAGCAAGGTTAGCTAGACTGGAGTTGGCCAGGCACCAAGCCCCACATGTGAATTGTCTCATTAAAGGTGGGATTACAGCATATTCATGATATCGCAGGTTGTGCGTGTTGAGTGGAGCGATGTGAAAATGCACACGATATGCTTCGACTTTCTGTTCGAGCGATTGAAGACGTTCTACTTGCCTTACATATTCCCCAACATGTCACAACAGATGAGCCTGTACCAGCCCAAGCTAAGTAAGTTCCTATATTCACATATCATTATCTTTCACACGTATTCTATTCATATGTCATTAAGAGCAACTTCTTGTAATAGTAGTTCTACTGAATATCAAGTCTCTATAGTGCAGAAATATCTAGGTCACGTAGCCAAATATTGGCTGTGCTGCCAGGTAATATTTGTATTTCCCGTACAGTTAAATAGTGCCTTCTATATTTGCTGTAAGCCTTGGTGATGTCTGAGCTATATTGTCTGTGTTGCTAGGTATGCCCTCTATACTGTCTGTGCAGCTAGATAATGCCCCCTGTATATTAGATAGACCGTTAGGACTGTTTGTAAATGTGCTCTATACTGTCCGTGAGTATAGCTAGATCATATCTTCTGTATGTAGTCGGTGTTTAGAGCGCGCGTTGCTGTATTTCAGCGCTGCCGGAGGTGAGGAAGCTGAGTGCGGGCGACGTGGACAGGGAGCGAGACGTCACTCTGTGTCAGGTCGCCGTCATTCGGTGGATGTGTCTGTTCATGCACGAGCTGAAGAAACATGACACGCTCACCATCGGCTCTGTAAAGTATGCACACCGCTCCCCGCCCCACCCACTCTCACGCACTACATGTGGTATATGTGGTACATGGGGCACTATATAGCTATAGCGCATGCACGCACGCACGCACGCACAGATATCCCTCCATATATAGTATATTTCATGGTATAGCTGTATAGTATGATGAGCAAGCCTTGCTGATTTTTTTGCATCCGCCTCACTCAATATTTGTCGGAATTGCTGCCTCGCTGCAATTTCTCGGCCCCACCAAATCATTATCCAGCTGGCACCCCGCAGTCCCCGTTTCTGCTCCTAACGTCCCATAAACCCCCCCCCCCCCACCCAGCCACCCCCGCATGCATTGATCAATTACCTCCCACATCTATTCAAAGCAAACACTCCAGGCATATGGTTGAGCCCCCCCTCCCCCCTCCCCACGTAGCGTTGCGCCTCAGCAGCTCGCGTCAGCGCTGGCGCGCGCGTGAGCGAGAGTTACTTACCATTCCCACTTTATTTCACCCTCCCACCTTATCCATCGATTGCTATCCAAGTCTAAAACAGCTGTAATGTATTATATAATATACTAATATATATATAGCTATATATATAGAAGTAGAGAGAGACTAGTATATGGTGAAGAGAATGATTATATATATATGAATAGTGGAACGATGCTATACCACCAGGATAGCGACACCACACCAGAGCGAGAGAGAAAAACCCATACCTTGTGAGAGCAACGAACAGAATGACTAGCTATGCTCAAACCACTTATCTTCTTAACTCGGACACTTCTTGCTTCTTGCATCATGAAATTGTGAATTCTAATCGAGCCTCTTTCACCGTAAACTGATTTGATTGTTCGACTCATTGTGTGAATGTTCTGTAGGTGTAAAGCTCAGAGGTCTTCTTGTTACAACCCTCTACTACCCCCTAGCCTGTTCGAATCGTGCCCCTGTGGAATCTACTCGTTGAATGTGTTCCGGTGTAGTAGTAAACAAGTTAGTATCAATCTCATTCTTGATTGCAGCTCACCATCTATATCGGATACGCTGAAAGACATTCCCGAGACAGGCAATGAAGGTGATACTGACAGAAGCCAGAGTACGGAGGCCTCTGGTGAGTCTAGTGCTATTTTCTAGGCGCGTACAGCGTGATTCACCTGTGTGACTGTCATTGATGTATGCCACGACGTGATTATGTATATGTTATATGCATATTCAGTGTTAGCATTTAGCAAGTAGATGTTGTATACTTGTAGTGTTTTATGTACATGTTACACAACCATAGAAGGGTTTCTTCTGAGGGAAAATTAAACAAAGGAGGTAATGGCCAGTTTGGGAAAAAATGCACATGATGGATTCAAATACAGGATGTATTTATATACTCATAGGTATATAGATACAGGATATACTTATCAGTAAATACAGGAACATTTTCACAACGACGATGTTAAATTTGACAACGGCGGTGCGCCACTGTGCCTCCTATGTAAACCCTGCATAGTATTACGTGTATGTGCCTCACAGCTGCAGTGTTGTATGTGGGTGTTGAATTGCTGCTGCAGTGTTATATTATCAAGAGCTAATAAATACCTAGAGTGTACAACGGGAAAACGGGAAAATAGTGCTATTTCACGGCAATGTTATTCTACTTTGCTGCGAGTCTAGAGTAATTTTATGGTATCGCATTAAGCAGCATTCTTTGCTCTCTAAAACAAGACCAACCGCTTGTCTCTACGATACTCCTAGGCCGACATATTGGCTCGTAAACCTCCCCTCCCACAGGCCTCATGCCGCCTCGCATCCAGGTTATTCACGAACCTTCTCGCGCTTAACGATTCTGGCTATCGTTTTCCGTCGCCGCTTGGAGCGCTGATAATTGATGTCACATGCCCAAAATTGGTACTCTTACTACACCATAGTAACTGAGCTGCGTTGTAGAGAATTAATTTAGAAAGCATTGCCGGCTCCATCATTACGGGCATTAGCCGTGCTAGGAAAGATAATAGGAGATAAGGGCCTAGGTGATGCCCCCGAAAGTCACAGATGATAACCGAAACGCCGTTCATTCATAAACTCATCGCGGAAAAAACCGAAATCTCACGGAGCAACATTCCTAACCCGCAAAACGTTAGAAGGTTCGGGAATAAACTGGATGCGAGGTGGCGTGAGGCATGTGGGAGGGGAGGTTGAGGAGAGAGCAAAGAATGCTGCTTAATGCAATACCATAAAAATATTCTAGACTCGGAGGCAAAGTAGAATAATATTGCCGTGAAATAGCACTATTTTCCCGTTTTCCCGTTGTACACTCTAGGTATTTATTAGCTCTTGATATTATATATGTTACAGACACACCCACAGCAGAGGGAGACAGTTTGTCCTCAAGTATAGGCAGTGCTGCCCCGCGCCACTCTAGCACAGAGCAAGAAATTGTGAGATATGTGCTAAACTCAACTCGTGAAAATGTCAACCTGGTACATGAGGTGTTCAGGCAGGTAAGTGTGGTCAAGCTGTCATCAACGATTACTATATATAGCTGCTGTTACCTTAACCCTAACCTCACACCTGTAGCTGCTGTTCGCCCCCAACCCTAATTTTACACCTGTTCCTGCTGTAATCTTAAACTCAACCTACACGTAGCTGCTGTTACCCTAACCCTAACCGTCATCCACCTGCTAAAGGCTGTGTCCATGCTCTGCAGGCATTCTTCGTGCCGCCTGCACATGCTGCCGCCATACGGAGGGTTCTGTTCGCCTATAAGGACTGGTTGCAGACAATCAACAGCAGCGACATGCCATTATTCCTGCAGGAACCTCTCGCGAAGGAACTCGAACTCAGGGCCAAAGAAGCAGCGGTTAGTGTCATGGTTATGAGTAACTATGCATGAGGTTCGACTTCTGACCGTGCAGTCAAACCCGTGTTAGTTAGTGTATTTGACTTGATATTGATTACTTGATTTGGTTCTTGATGACCTGTGTTAGTTAGTCGTCAGGTCTATAGAACTAACACCTGTCTATAAAAGACACTTGGTATTTCCTTTGAGTGGCAGTTATTAAGTGAAACCACCTCTAGAATGGACATCTGTCTACAAAGACCACCTTATGCATTTCCATTGCGTAACCCTTGTATGCAGGTTTGATTTGCTATCTCTGACTAGTGATTGTCACTTCCAACTCGTTCGTATCCTAAAGATGGGACCCCTAACTTTAATTGGACCTGGTTGTTCACATGAATATTTACCACGGCAATTTCTGAACGTGTGTGTGTCTCTGTGTTGGTAACACGTGGCACCCTATGGTGTTGTAGAATCGGAAGAGTGCGATCTACACACCTCCGTTTCCGAGCGAAGACATGTTGGACAAGCACTTCACGCAGGAAGAGCGCAAGATGGAGGACGTGAGAGCCGGCATGCAGAATGTACTACAGGTGTGCTAGGTTGCAAGGTCATTTTTAAGTTGTTTCCTGGGCAAGGAAATTGATTCCTTTGGTTTGATCCAAAGATTTTAGAAAAATTGGAAGGGCACTAAGGCAAACATACTGTTCAGATGGGAAACACAGAGGCAACTTACTTTGTGTCAGTACTTTTTATATAAGACCATTAGGGAGACATACGGTGCCATGCTGCATATACGTACATGCCATGGAATTTATGGGGATGGCTAGGAGGAAAACCAGGTAGCTAACCACTACAGTTAAAGGAATAATAGGTCCATTGATTATGCAATGTTGACGAATGCTAGAGTAACTGGCACCTTGTGTAGTTAATAAGTACATTACCTGGCTTATAGCCAAACGCGTATTAGTTGTCCAATATCACTGCTGGTTACATTACAAACAAGACTTGAAATCAGTTGTTGATATGTATCAACGTATCATTTATGTGCCGTAAATGTCATCCAGGAGTCAAGCGACATTTGTGCGGCCCGTATGTTTTGGACGCCAGATTAAACGGAGGTGTCAACGGTGTAACCACAGCCACGGACTAAACATGGAAATAGAGTAAAACACACGTACTAATCGCGGACGCACGTGGACAGCCCTGACAAAAAGTTCCTTATCACGAGCGTCCATGTTTACGAAATCACTGATAATAGCATTGCGTACGCCCGAGCATGCGTGCAGAAATGTCCGGTGCACTATAAATTTGTATCACACCCGCTTCGCCGGCAGCGGTTTGAAACTGTAAACAACTGATTTTTGGACTGTGGATTTCAATTAGACATTTCTTAGTAAATAGCAGTGATATTGGACAAACTAATACGCGTTTGGCTATAAGGTAATGTACTTATTAACTACACAAGGTGCCAGTTACTCTAGCATTCGTCAACATTGCATAATCAATGGACCTATTATTCCTTTAAGGAGGCCAACCACGGTTCTCTCGGTCAGTGCCTTTGTGAAATTTAGTGCCTGTGTTACATGCTACATGCAGCAGCTTCACAGTAGCTGATGTTGTTTCATGTGTTTCAGGTTTTATTAATACAGGTGTTTCATGTGTCTTCTACGTGTTTCAGGTGTTAGTTGTACATTTGTTAAAGGTGTGTGTGACATGTTGCAGGTGTTCATGACGAATGCAGCAAGCGTGTTCCTTCTCAATGGTAACTGGGCGCTGGCGTCACACCTCGACGATCACATCGACATCTGCAAGCGCGTGCTCAGCATCTACCGCTACGTAGTCATGAACGTCACCATGGCGACTGCCACCTGGTGAGAGACCCCAGCAACTATGAACTAATTTCACGCCTCGTCTGCATGCTCGCATAACCTGTAGGCGGGCATATGTTTCCATGAACCAAAGTATGGTCGTGACGTCAGTGTGACGTCAGTGGCTATCTACCACCATAGACCAATCACGCACGCACATCCATAATATATTATTCCAATTACGCTGAATAGCCGATCTTGTACGCTGGCGGGCGTTACGTCTGAAGGTCGTTAGTTCAAATCCCATCTGTTTATTTTTTATGTTTATCCATTTAACTATTTTTTTCCAATTAACGCAAATATTTACATGATTTATTTACAATTTTTTATTACATTATTTAAAAAAAAATTAAAGTGTTCATTAAATTTAATTAGGGTTAGGGTTAGGGTTAGGGAGTAGGGCGTAGCACGCAACCACCAGCACCATGAGCAGGCTGTATACTGTATACATTCAACTTCGGAGATAGCCGAGTTAATGCGTGACGTCAGTGTATGTCACGACCATACCCTAACCCTAACCCTAACCCTAATTTAATTTAATTAAGACTAATAAATTTAATTTAATTAAAAAAAATGTAATAAAAAATGGTAAATAAATCATGTAAATATTTGCGTTAATTGGGAAAAAATAGTTAAATGGATAAAGATGGAAAAATGAAAAAATAAACAGATGGGATTTGAACTAACGACCTTCAGACGTAACGCCCGCCGGCGTACGAGCTCGGCTATTCAGCGTAATTGGAATAATATATTATGGATGTGCCATGCATACATGGATGTGCGTGCGTGATTGGTCTATGGTGGTAGATAGCCACTGACGTCACACTGACGTCACGACCATACTTTGGTTCATGGAAACATATGCCCACCTAACCTGTAGGGTAATCAAATTAATGCACCTAACACTGTTTTCCTAATATTTTATACAAATTAAAGGGACAGTAGCCTCTAGGATTTTACTGCATACAACTGTACTTACTGTATAACAAATCGTCTATACCCACACGTATTTGTTACCAGATACCTAATTTAAATGTTATAATTAATTACACATCAACGCTACGAAATTTGAACGGCACCATGACAACCGCGACCGTGCTGCCACCCCGAAAAAGTTGCGTATTTGACAATTTATTTTGCTCGTTACAGACCGAGGGCTAATCACAAAAGTGCAATTATATTTATACCTAAATGCTATTTAACCGAACGATATTCATTTTAGGGCAAATTTATCCATATTATAACTGAAACTATATGTCGTTTATAAGATATTACAATCCTTTTGCTTTTAAATGAATAATTAAGAAACACCCTCGGTCTGTAGCCCTTGGCTGGAAAGTGGTTTTGCGCAACTTATCAGATCGTGCGCTTTGAGTGGTGCCACCGTCGTTGCAATCAAACTGTAGTCGTTAGTTTTAAAACATTTAAAAAAAATATTTCTAATGGTGATTGAACCATGAAACTTTTTATTTAGCGTAATTATAACCTAAATTAGCTGAAAATTACCCTAGAACCTAGAGTAAACTCTCCCTTTAATTTATGTATTATAGTGTAACATGGACACTGTGGTAATAAATTTACTGGTTAGTTGTAGAGATTGTAAAACAAGGTGCAAAAATATGGTCAAGTGCCACAAAGTAAGTGGCAGGCCTTAACCGTATATGTGTTGAAGGGCTTGCGCCCTGTTCCGTCCTTATCTAGGGGAGTGCTAACCTTCTCTCCTTTCATTCAACACATCAGAGAATCTCAATCTAGCCCTATATATAGGCTGTACAGGGAGCAGAGAAACAACTGTGGTGTGAAAGGAGGCTAAAATCCTTTGATAGTTTATTCCAACATCTTTGCATTCTAGTATCTTAGTATCTGTAATTTACTGGGTCTTGCTGCCAATCTACTTCGTGTATTCGACTTTAATGGCCCGCCCCATTACAGATCTGGTCACTGTTAGTGGACAATGTTTGTGCTGCCCCCTGGTGGCTGAAAATAAAAACAATTTATCATGAATAATTTCTCATATACACCTTACCCAGTGTCCCACATCCAGTGACCTGCACCCAAATTTAATTAGCCCACTTCGCTACACCTGCCTCCGCCTGCCCTCACCTTCCACACCCACTCACCATATCCAATGTCTCTCCGATTTGCTAGCACCAACCTGCCATCCCGCTAGCTCCACCCGACCCAGGATTTTAGCACAGCGAGAAGGGAACAGCTACTACATTATATATATATATATAGTGCGTGTGTGTGCGTGCGTGCGTGTCTGTCTCTGTCTCTGTCTCTGTGTCTGTCTGTGTCTGTGTGTATGTCTGTCTGTCTGTGTCTGTCTGTCGGTCTGTCTTTCTCTTACTATCTGTTTCAGAGAGTAGTTACTACAGGGTATATACCTTGTCTGTCTATCGCTGACTAACATCGCTCTGTCTGTCTGTCCATCTCAGGGAGCAGTTACTAAAGGTACTCATGCACGTCATCAGCTCCGTATTGGAAGGCAGACCAGCCATCAAGGAGAAGACTCTCGGTGGACGCCTCGCATCTGTTCTGTTCCAGGTAATAACCCACTGCCTCTCACTTGCTAGCAACGTCGCTAGCATCCACGATGGTGCCCGCGTTGTTACCACGGAGACTGGTTGCCACAGAGGCATAGACATTGCCGGCGGAGACATAGCTGTTGTCACCGCCCCTGTCCCAGTTTCCAAGAGAAATCTCTGGTTTAGCCAAGACTTTGTCGTGAGCGTTCGATAGTGGTCGACCGAGGCACCAGACAGGCTGGTTGTATTCGTGCGATGTGTCACGCAATTGTCATCTAAAGATGTTTTTCGTTCTCATCGTAGAGTGGAAATTTGCCATCATTATTTTGTAGTTGCGTGCCGACTACAACATTTTTAAAACTCGTTATCTGTGAGCACTGTTTTCCATCATACATATCTAGTGCTTACGTGAGGGGTAAATGGTAAATTTAAAGTTTCTAGCACAACGAGAAGATTATTAAAGAAAATACCCACTTCACTTCGAGGGTGAAATTTCTATCGCTCAAGTATAATCTGATTAAAAGGACAAACCGTGGCAAAATCTCACGATCTCTCGACATGGCCGCTATTCGCATCTCTGCTGTTGTTCGCAGACGCTCATCGTCACTTGGATTAAAGCTAACCTCAATGTCTACATCTCGGCTGAGCTGTGGGACCAGTTCCTGAGTGTGCTGTCCAGCCTCACGCACTGGGAGGAGCTCGTGCAGGAGTGGTCGGTATGTGGCGATGGCACGTGATGTCAGAGTATTGATTTTGTGCCTGATACACAATCATAGCATCACTTGATTTTACGTAAGGTGCTATGTTTGACTTGCGTATGCATAAACCCTTATGTATAATCTGGCCATCCTATCTGTCCGTCTGTCTGCCATTCATCTGCCTGATTGTCTATCCGGCTGTCTGTCTGTCTGAGTGTCTGTCTGTTCTATTTGTCGATATATCTAATTATCTGTTTATCTGTCTTGTTTGTTTGTGTGTGTCCGTCCATCCGCCAGCCAGCCCAACCACTCATCCATACAGCCACCCACCCACATGCCTGCGAAATCACCCACCCACCCATCTACTTACTACCTACCTACTTATCTAAAGCCACACTACCTTAGCCCCAGTCTGGCACCTACCTACCTAGGCTACCTACCTACCAGCTAGCCCTAGCGATACGCTACCTAGAGCTACCTAGCTAGCTACCTTACGCTACCTTACGCTAAGCTAGCTAGCCTACCTACCTAGCTACCTACCTACCTACCTACCTTACCTACCACCTACCTTACCTTAACCTGCTAGCTACCTTACCTACCTACCTACCTACCTACCTACCTACCTACCTACCTACCTACTTACTTACCCACAGTACAGACAGTTAGAAGACATGCAGACAACTAGATAAACACGAGTACTTTTGAACTGTCATCTTCTGTATTGTGTATGTATCTCACGATATCGCCGGCTTTGCGTGTCGCTCCTGTAGAAGACGATGGACACACTGACCCGTGTGCTCGTGCGCCACGTCTACAGCCTGGAGCTTAACGACCTGCCTCTCGACAGACTCACCGAGCAGAAGCGCAAGCGCACCAAAGGTAATAGTGCCAGTGGCGTCGCGATAACCTAAATAAAATCGATTGTAAGCTAATGTCTTATAAACGTTAACTTCTAGTAACGCTTATAGTGAAGGGTGCCGCTGTAGCCGATGTACTCGCTACTGGTTTGGCTTACCTTTCTGTGTGGTCGAGCTCACGAATAGGGTACATGACCATCATGCAGTGAAAAAAATACACGGGGGCTCAGGGCGATTTAGCCCCCGAAATGCCAAAAAGAGCCCCCGTAAATGTGCATAGAGTTCAATGCAAACCAAATTTTAGAGTGCTATTTTCATGCACGCGAGCTTGAAAAGTAGCCCCCGAAAAACAAATTTTAATTTTTTCCCTGCCATCATGTGACTCATGTCCATGTAGCAGACGTTATTTGTTTTACCATGCTGTATCCTATGGTTTTACTGTAGGGGTAGTTGACAGATGGTGTAAGCGCAGTGAATCACCGATAAGATCACAGTGACCAGTAGTACTGACCAATAGTGCAGCGATGCAGGGATAGCTGACTTTATAACTACCATGCAGGTGTAGATAGCATTATAACCACAAAGCTGGATTAGCTAACTTTATAATCACCATGCAGTAGCCGGTAATCGTGTGACCTCAAGTAAATAGGACATTAGAATTTTGACGAGAACCCCACAAGGTTGACTGACGAAACTCCCTGAAACTGCTCACTGCAATGCAGCTGCATGACTGTGATTCACAGGTCAGAATTGCTGTGTGGAGTCGTCCAGACAGGATCAGCATAGACTGGCGGCTGGCACGTTCACGCGCAATTGGAGCCGCTACAGCGGGCCTCCTGCCGTCGGCAACGGTTACGAGAATCGCGAGTGCCTGTCTCCGGCCGACAAGCTGGAAAACTCCGGCACACTGCTGCGCTCTAAAGGTACGTGACATTACTGTGCAACACTGGAGCTGTAGCAGTGAGCAAGGTCTTAATGTTGAAGAGTTACACGAGTTGTGCATCCCCGCAATGAAAATTTCTAGTTGTTTAAAGCACAGGCTTTTAAAACTCGGAATGATTGAGCCCAGCTTCCTGAGGTGGGTTTAAACGGCATTTAAAAATGAAAGCTCGATAATTTTAATCGTCGTGTACACACGTCAGTGGATTATTTGAAAAATTGCCTGCAGGTGGCTTTGGTTGTCTGGCTCTGATCGATGTACAGGTGGGCCTATATGCCGTACAAGTTACTAAAACATTCAGTGACTAGATAAATCCATGTTTTTCAAAGCAGTGTATAGCCGCATACCATGAAAAACACAGGTTTTTAAAACCCGTGCTCGAATTACCTGTGTTTTTCGAAAGATCGTGTAGATGGGGGTTTATAACTCCTTACTGTGTAACATCTGCCTATTACTCTACCTACCTGCCTTATAACAATTACAATTGCCAAGTGAACAGATTCATCTATCACAAAAACAAAAAGCATGCATGTTCTGATATTAAAATTCTAATGTTTGACCTACCTGTTATGTTTTACAGAGGAGTACGGGCGGGTGCGGTCGGTGAGCGGGGGCGATGTAACAGAGCAGCCACGCCCCATGAGCCTGGGTACCACGGTAACCCTGCCTCTCGTCCGCAGCACCAGCGATGGAGATCTTTCGTCTAAGGACAACTCGCCTGACTGCTTACAAGGTAACAACGAACTATGTGTAGTGCTGTGAAGATAACAGAACAAACCAGACGTGGGTTAACCACAGAGCTAACATTTTCTTTGCTCACTCAGAATACATTAGAGATGACCATTTTAATGTGATTCTTACTATTAGAATTACTGTTAAATTTACTCACTACCAGCCCCTACCCAACTACTTCTATAGACAAATAAAAATAAAAATTTACTACAAGTCATCTCCCCCTACTTCCCTGACAGTTGGTTTGTAAGGTACCCCAGCTACAAATTTCCAATTGAAAGACTGAATCAGAGGTGGTGGTAGTCGTATTCGTGGTAATGATGGCTATGATAGAGAGAGACAACAGAACAGCATTGTATTATGGGAGTAGATCGCGAGTGCAGAGTTAGTAAGTGCGGAGCAATACAGGTAGTCACCGGTAGCCAGAACTAGCTAATGGTATAGTTTCATGAATACACTGCATCACACGGCTAGGGAGCTGTTCCAGTAAAAGCATGCTCGACAAAATCTATGTGTGCCACACAGATTCAGTGTGAATGAACAGTTAGTTTCGCCACCTTACAATGATGCAGTATCATAATGTGTGTAACAACAACTGTAATATATGGAGTGTGCCGGAAACACTCGATGAATAGATTGGTCAGGAGTGTAATATACATGCATTATTCGTGACTCTAACATCAGGCAGAGTGTCCTATAAACCCTCAATTTCACAGAATCAGGTTGCGTATATTTCTTACAACATTATCCTTCACGTAAATCACTTCAGTATAGCATCTAAACATCTTTGGAGGGGGAACAGTGGACAACAAATTCAAATAAAAAAATCATTTTGGTTAGTGTGCTCTGCCAAATATCGGTTAGTTATTTTAAATTAGATCTACTGGATTACTATACATCAATTCTATTAATTTAATAAAAAATTTAAATATTTGACTTTAACGTTTTTGAATAACCAAACATCTACACATGTTCACGTGTGTGTATTATTTAGGTTGCTTTACATCACTCTGGCAATGAATTGGGGTTAATGACAGCTCTTGGGTTTCTAGGTTCCATCTATGGTGTGTGATTATCTGTTATAGTGTGATTACTAGTCTGGCACATTGATGACATGTTGAGCCCATATATTGAGCTGGAACCAGCGAATTACTAGTCACTGTTGAGCAAACAAAAATACCGTTTTACAGTTTGTGCAGAATGAGAGAGAGAGAGAGAGAGAGAGAGATAGAGAGCGAAAGCGATAGAGAGACAGAAGTTGGGAAAAAAAGGGAAAGAGAGGGGAGGCAGGAGGAGAGAGACACACTGAGGGAGAGAGAGTGAGAGAGAGGTACAGACAGGCCGCCATGCACATGTATTCATGGTGCTCGATGTTGCTGCTTGTAGGGGGAGAGGAGATAATGCTGGCTTCACGAGGAAGAATGTCCGACGATCCACAGCTTCTTAAAGCATTCGCAATGAATCATGGTAAGTGCTAAGATTCTCTCTCTGCAATTATTTATTCACCCTACATGCAGATTACTAAATTGAAACCATAATTCTTGGCTGCAGGCCAATGCTTGCATAAAAGTTCAACATGAATTAACTTGGCAACAGCTGTGAAAATCAACCAGACGGTCAGAGAGTTCATCAGAAAGAAACCACCAGGAAGAAGTCTGAAAGAATGTTTGCGTGGTCTTACAGAATTATATGTGCATAATGGATATATCAATAATAGCTACATTAATTAATAGCTAACCCAAGCATTAACGAGTATTTGGAGCATTTCGTATCGTGCATAGAGCTGCTAGCTAGATGGCTGTTGTCCGAATGATTGTGACGTTAAGATAAAAACTTCTACGACTCTACCATTAAAATAGTATAAATAAAAATGAGTAGACGACTAAGAATAGATTTACGACATTACTCGCATGTCTCTAACTATAACTTTGTGTTCTTCTGATAATATTTTTTGACTAGTGGAATAAGGCTGATAGATAATTGTTGGGACTACAACTAATCACAGGAATAAACCATCGCTTTAAAATGCAGCCACCCCCACCCCGCCCACTGTTACTCGGTTGCTCTGGCAGTACGCAGCAACCACTGCAGTCACGCTTGAGGATAACTGAAGATTGGCAGACCATGAATTGCCTTAGTAGTTTGTTGTTACCAGAGCCAGCATTAGTCCAGTCATAAAGTGCACTCTACCGGGAAATCGAGTGAAACAAGCTGGATTCTTCACTAATGTGTTGGTTATTGTTTTGTTCACTAATAAACCCCCCAAAAAAGTTACAAAATTTTCGTTGGTCGGAAACTTTTTTAGGGGCAACGCCCTTTTTCTGATTGTTCGCCGATTATGGGAAATGTGTAAATCTATACCTGAACACTTTATAGTCCTGCTAATACATGTTAACTAGGGGATTTGGGGCGGGGAGTCGATTTCCAACAGTCAGTTATCATAAATTGAACGCGTTAAGAGCTTAATTGACCAATTAAGCTCAATTAAGCTCAGTCGGCTACCAAAATTTCGCGTGTTTTCTGACATATGGCATGTTAGTATGCTTTCTGTACGTGTTTTCTTTGGATGCCGATTAAATTTTCGAATGTTATTTAAACACTTCAGAAGTCTGATTCATCCTAAAAATGTGTTATTAGATCGAGTCATTAATAACCATACGTGTTACTGTTTAAATTTAAACAAGTATTGATTATGAAGCTTTACGAACTCGACAACCCGAAGATACTCGATAAAGAATCATACACATAGGATTTGATTGAATACAAACAATAGAATATAATTTGTCCTTTAACAGAACTATTGTATCACAATCGTCCAGGAAGAGTGACAAGTCTAATGCACTGTACAAAAAATTAATTTACAGCATGTCCCCAAATCAACCGAAGCTATCAAAATAGTCCTATATATCATAACTTATAGTACAATAATTAGTACAATATTATAACTTATAGTACAACAAGTTTAGTCGATAAATTGGAAAAGTCAATCTTCTGGGACATCATCTTCGGCGTCCCCTACCGATCCTTGATCTTCGTCATCATCTCCGGTTTCCTGGTCGCCGGTTACACTTACAGTCTGGTTCTCACAGTTGTCACAGCCACAGAAATCAGTACACTGGAGGTCAAGCTGCTTGCAGCCACATCGCTTTGAAGAGCAGTTAGTTTTACACCTACAGCTAATGGAACTGAGCAAATTGGGAAGTGCCACTGCCTTGTCTGTGTAGAGGGGTCCATACTTGCCATCGGAGTTCAGAACCCACCCATATTCTGAGGGGTCAAGAGTGTTAAATAGCCACTCTTGTACCTGATGGTACACTCTGAGACAGTGGTACTTCGCAGCTGAGGAGGTAGGAGGAGGCCGTCTGTGGTCAACTTTTCTCTGTACAGCTCCTTTCTTCTTGTGCAGAGCATTTAGGAAGAGCTTGTGGCGCAACTTGTCTAGTGACAGCAAGGGAGGATCTGTTGACTTGGTGTACATCTGGATAATGATATCACTCCCTGCTTTAACAATCCGGTCTGTTGACTCCTGCCTACAGTAGAATTCGGCTGTGCTCGCTATCATCTTCTCCAGGATCTTTGACTTGCACAACCGCGTCTTACCGAAGCCAAAGAAACCTGATGTCGTGTCACACCCCGACATTGCATGGTTGAGAAGGAGCATGTTGAGTGTAGGCTCGGGGAGGGCTTGGGCAAGAGATCCGATGTCCAGCACGGTGTTCCCTGATTGTTTCAGATATACGCAGTGCTTAGGTGAGCGCATGTGGTGGAGCATCATAACTAAGATGTCAGTGTCCTCAGCGACCACACACACATGGCTTATCTCAGAGAGCTCCTATTGCTTTTCGTACAAAATATGAGTCTGCATCAGCTACACACTGGCTAACGTGGTAGAGCTCCACTTCTAGCCCCTCCATCAACAAGCCAATGAACTTGTGTTTGTTTTTTTGGATTCGAGAGCAGAAGCTCCCGCTTACAGTCCACAACATTGTCAACCGCTATGTCTATTTCTAGAGATGATACCGGGCATCTTGTTGTGTGTACCATGTCCTTAGTACTGGGTTGCAGGTATCCATCAAAGATGATGTAAGTGTCTTTAGGATGGGTAAAGTGCTTCTTAACATAGGTGATATAGCACTGCACAACTTCTCCGTAGGTTGTCCCTTTCTCCCACGGCACAGTGTAGAAGAGGAGACCCCCATCTACTACTATCTTCAGCTTCTCTGGCATCACACCACACACCGTTGTCTGCTTTATAATGCTGCCCAGGTCAGCTTTGGCGACAGTTCTTAAGGTACCGTTATCGGTACTGAGTGTACTTTTGCACTTTATTTGCGGCACTATAGTCTGTATTTTATTATAATAAATCTTATAATAATTCAAGAGTGATATTAGAGTAATATAGAGAGATCTATATAAAATTAGAGTTTAATTGAGCTTAATTGGTCAATTAAGCTTTAACCGTTCAATTTATGAATAAACTGACTGTTGGAATCGACTCCCCGCACCGAAATACCCCTATTAACATGTATAACATGACTATACAGTGTTTATGTAAGATTTACACAATTTTCCCATAATCGCGAAAATCGGAAAAAGGGCATGGCCCGTAAAAAAGTTTCCGAACAACGAAAATTTTGTAATTTTTTTTGGGGTTTATATGTACCAATACCAACACATTAGTGAAGAATCCAGCTTGTTTTACTCGATTTCCCAGTAGAGGCCTTATTTGGCACTTTATGACAGGACTGCATGGTAGGGCTAAGGATATTCGACTGTGTTGGGTGTTTGTTGGCAAGCCAGAGGTCGGATAATAAGGGGTTGAGTGAGTAGTAAGGTTGTAGTGCTAGGTTTCGTGCTTGTGAGAGCAATTAGGTCACAGCAACGGGAAGTAAGTCGAGGAAAGTGCAGTATTGCTGCTTACTTTCACGTGCATGGCCTGTGCTTTCTTCTCTGGCTCTCTTACTTTCCCTCTATCCCCATTTTCCCTCCTTTTCGCCTTACCCCCTCCGAATGTGTCTCTCTTGTTTGTCTACCCCCCATCTCTCTCATATATATATATATATACATACATACATGATACATGTACATACACGCCGGATGAGACATTTGATGAAGCTATTTTGGGCTTGAGTGCAGGAAGTTGTGTGTGATCCCATGCTGATATGGGATATACTATATACATATGATGATATATATATAGTGATGTCATCTATCAGATATATGAATTATTATGTACATCGTATATCTATGCTGCCAGCGTCGTTGGCTACGGTGTGCAAACATTGGACCGGCATCGAGCAGGTGATTACCCACACGCGTGATTGACTGTCAGCTTCCTCATTGACTCTAACTACCGTGGCATGACTCGACACGCTCAAACGATCTCGCTCGCGCGCTGAAATATTGATGTTATACTCACCGCATCCGGCGTCCTCATTGCTGCCGGTATCCTAACTCTGTCCGCGTGCGCTCATCTGCTCGGTGCTGCGGTGATGTTCACTACGTGGTGGTGACTTTCACAGCGTGGTGGTGACCTTTACTACGTGGTGGTGACCTTCACTGCGTGGCGGTGACTGCTCAATGTTGTGGTCCCCGCGTGGGCGTGTGACCGGTGGTCCGTAGGGACTGTGGTGGCTGACTGTCACGTGTGTTCTGGAGGCTGCATAGTAGGATGCCGGTGTCCGTGTGTTGCTGTCTGGTGGCTAGTGGCACGGGAGAGCATTCAGCCCCGGATGTACAATGTGTATGGGCGCGCCAGTGTGCGTGCACGTGTGTGTGTGCGCGCGCGTGCAGTGCTGCTGCTGCTGGTGGTGGTGGCGTGTGCGCGTGTGTGCGCGTGCGCGTGCGTGCGTGCGTTTACAACAGGTCCTCTAGCTTTCTTACAGTCTCTTAGTCTCTGCAACGATGTTTATGACTTGTGTAGCTTTGGTAGTACGTGTTTGTGTGCAGGCTACAAACCTGCTAACTTTCCTGTGCAGCTGCAGTGGTCTGTTTATGTGTATGTCTGCCACAGGTGTGCCTATGTAGCTGCGGTGGAGCGCGCGCACGCGTGTGTGTTCGTGTATTTGCCAATGCGGGAACGTTGTGTTTAACCTGCCTTGAGCGGCACATGGAAAGCTCTGGAACCGAAAATTCTAGAGCACGTCTGTAAACAAATCGTGCGCCTGCGCCCACTCCCGCGCTCCCGCCCCTCCGTGCGTGTGTGAAGTCCGCACGCTGCCGCCGGCTCTAATCCCGTCAGTGGGAGCTTAAGTAACAGTGTCAACAAGTCAACAAGCAATCATCATCGTGCGCTGCCACCTTCGTCAATAGCGGCGTGCAAAAACGTTCACCTGTATGAGGCTTTGCCTTGGTACGGGGCCAAGTGGAGAGAGCTGCTGCTCTGCTTCTCTCTTGCTGAGAACGCTATGACAACGGCAGCCGCGCGTCACGAGGTGATGGATGGATAACGCGCCCAATGTGATTAATCACACCGTAGTGATACGACGTAGGTGCATGCGACGTTGTTGCCTCCGAGTTGGATACGACGTTACTGCTTGTCTTGGGTTGTCTTTGGGCGACGGTAACTCGCCCTAATACTCGGTTTCGGCTCCACAAACAGCTAGTATTACCGAGTGTATATCACCATTGTGATATCATATCACAAAGCCAGCCGAGCTCTATGCGGGTAATGACGGATGTGAGGATGATGGGAGGATGCTGGCATAGGTGATCGTGCGCGTGCGTGCAGCAGACGTACCCGGCAGTGTTGCGGCGACGCCGGGGAGCTCGCAGCACGGGTCGTTGATTGGTCGCAGGGCCGTGTTTACGGACGACGCGTCACGCTGCTGTGCTCAGCGTGAGGTGTGCCGCATCACGGCGTCGCCTAGTGAGTGTGTGCTGGGAGTTGGTTGTTCGTGGTTGAGCCTGCATACCTCTGTTGCACTACAGTTACTATGTTTACTTTGTGTTCAGGAGTGAGTTCATCCCACTGTTAGACTCGATTGTTAATAGTGCATCTCACTGTTAGAGTATATGGTTATGTGTGCATCCCACTGCTGGAGGCTGTGGATAGGAGTGCATCCCACTGTTGGACCCTTGGGTTAGAAGTGCATCTTAGTGTTGGTCTCTATTTTCAATGGTGCATCCTACTGCTGGACTCTGTGGTTAGGAGTGCATTCCACTGCTGAACCCTTTTTTGTTGGGAGTGCATCCCACTGCTGCTGTCTAACCACAGTAGACGCCCTTCCAAAGTGAAATTGGGTGCTGCTTTCCGATAACCCCTGCACGCTCCCTGCTGCCAGAACTTGCGTGGTAAAATCCTCGCGCACCACTTCCGCCACCAGAAGGCGATGTTGAACTCGCTGAAGAAGAAGGTGGGCACGTCGGCCCGGAGGCCGCCGCGCGAGGGTGAGGAGCGGCGGCGCGTGTCTCTGCCTGCGATCCTCGGAGGGGCGCCAATGTACCGGCCCGGTGCGATGCTGCGAGGCAAGATCCTCAGGAAGGGATCGCAGTTCTTCTGTACGTTTGTGACGGCGCGGCGTTGTCGAGAGAGAGGAAGCCGCGGAGCTTCACGGGAAGCAGTGGGAGGAGGGGAGGACGAGAGGATGATTGAGAGGGGATTAGATTTTATTATGAAGTGCGGGAGAGAGAAAGAGCGGGCGCGTGAAAGGGGGAGGAGAGCGGGATAACGGGAAAAAGAGAGTGGGAGATTGGGCAGCAAGAAGTGGGAGGAGAGTAGTGAGAGAAGAGGAGGGAAAACCCAAGTCTTAGTTCACCTAAGTACCATATTTGCCGTGTATTTGAAGGTATTCATAGTTTTCACACATTTACATGTAGGTCTGTTAGCTGTGTGTTTTGAATTTGATTGTAAATATTTCGGAATGTGAAAATTGGCTTGACACCCTGACTATGTGATCTATATATGTACATGTGTGCAGCCTAGAGGTATGTAATGATAGATCTGACCTACCTCTGTGCGTACACATATGCAGGCAGGTAATACTGCTAGCTACCTGTCTGACACTGCACATGTGTGTACTGTGTATACGCAGGTAACAGACCTGTGCGTTGTGGCTTTCAGTTACGGAGGAGACAGGCAGTAGGAGTTACCAGGGCAAGAGTGTAAGCCGTTTTGCGTAACGTTTTGCAGCCACGTCGTTGGAGGAGGAAGGCAGTAAGATTTACCAGGATCAAGAGTACGATGAGGAGGTGGCAAGCATCTCTGTGAGTGGTGATTCGCACAGCATCGATCGGCTCTCCCTCGGCGCCACCCTGCTGGAGAGAAGTGAGCGAGGTAGGTGGATTGCTCCCACATCTTTCTGTGTGTGTGCATCGCACGCACATGCATGCGTGCATTTCTGTCTGTATTAGGTTTTTGTCAGCTATGGTGACCGAGTTACAATCTTAGAATGTAAGCAAAATCAGAAAAAAAATCAGATAGGATATTATTACCGTCGCTGCAGCAGTGAAGCTATGACCAGTTGTAGAGTGTTCAGCACATAACCAGTCACAAAGAGGTGTCACTGTTCCGTTTCTCACCTACGCTCCCCGTCGCCATTCCCGCAGGCTCCAGCACCCCCTCTCCACCCGGGATGAACTTTGAGGTGGGATCGCACTCGCGGAGTGTGTCTCCTTCCTCGTTCGACACGAGAGCCGTGCAGGAGACAGGAGAGGTCGTCAGCATGCCCATCGATGTCGTTGTCACCGACGACGGGCAGGTGAAAGTCACAGGTGAGTTCATTAGCACACCTGAACTGTCGGCAGGCAGGTGAACGTTGGGAGTAAGTTCGCTATGACGTCTGGACCAAAGACGGGCAGGTGAAATTCGCAGGTGGTTTTGTTAGAACACCTGGACTGACGACAGGCAGGTGAAACATATAGAGGGTTCCGCGATTTTCCATATTACCCACAATGCAATGCCGTCGGCCATTAGGGTTCCAGAAACCAGTTCAGGCATGGTACAGGCAAGTACATTGAGCAACGCACCTCTGTTCGTTTTATTCGCCTATTAAGCAAATCTATCACAACTCCGCTCTCCTGCGGTGTTGTCAACTGCAGCAATCGGTATCAGAGAGAGCCACACAGATTTTTTAGGCTGCCTAGCGTGATCACAACACAAGGTAAAGTGACGAGAGACCAGGCGGACCACAGACGTTTGAAGCATTTTCAATAAAAAAGCAATGCTGAATAAACACAAAATGTATTTACTACCAATGTTTCTCTAGCTCTCTTTCGCCTTGTATTGCGGATAATTACCTGTAAATGCCGGTCAAATGCTCCTCTGCAACACACAGGTACACCGCACGCCGCTACACATTTACACTTATATACATATATCGCCGGCATCCAGTAGGCAGCTGTTTGAGTGGGGGTAGTGATTTCTCTTGCACGTGCAGCATACTCTACATAAAATAGCACCGCGGCAACATGTGAACAGAATTCACCAAGCCCGGCTTTACAATTACAGTGTGCTGACATGATGCCTGTCCCATATTCTCTCATCATGACCCATGCACGGATAGAAAGATGGTATAATCAGAGACTGGGAGTGCATAACACGTGCTCGGATAGCGTAGATGGGACTCGCACTGTTCACATAATAGATGTAGACTGATACACCACTAACCCAACCGCAGAACAGTCGATCGTATAGGCATCCAGGCTTTTGTAGTTCTGAAAGTCCTTGAGAGTATAAAATGGACTCGGCTGGAATGTTAGGTAGTTCACGAGATCCAAATAGGTGTGTGATGGGAACACATTGTGGTCCTCACTCCATTCGGCATTTTCTATTTGGTACGGGTCTCGATTCCCAATGCACGCAATTTTCTCGAGATAGCGTGCTTTGGCTACATTGTCTAGGGAATCGAAGTACGTATCCATACTATGTACACTACAGACAGTCGACAAACGTGCATACACTAGCTATTATAAAAAGCTGCGTTTGATAGCTAGAGTAGATGCAGTCACATGGGTGAAATTTCTGAACTCTCACGATGTAAACAAACTCAAGTCTATGAACATATGTGTTGCGTGCAATCTTCCGATCTGCTCAATCTACGAATCTGCCGACTGTCTGGCAGCATCATTGAACTCGCACCTAAAACCCACGATGGTAAACCTGCTTGCAAAACCGGGCCTGCTCAATCTTATCGAACTAGCAATTAACACAACCCCAGCTGATAAACCTGTCTGCAAAATCGGGATCCATTACTGCTAATATCTATTGCAATAATAACACTATAGCCAAAGTAAAATCGGTTGATTGTGCAGATCGGCAGATTACACGCAACACGTGTTCGCTCTTTTTGGAACCGAGATGGCCGACGACACAGGATTGTAGGTAATGTTGCTATTTTTAGTGCAAATCGCGGAGCCCTCTATAGGTGAGTTCGTCATAACACCTGAGATAAGTCACGAAATGTTGTATGCGCCTGTGCCGCAATCAAAAGATATGGGCGTAAGCTGCTTATGCGTTGACACAGCTGAGGTCAACCTATTACCAGGTAAGTGACTGGCTGGTGTAAGGCTAGTGAATGACTGCTTCTCTAATTAGGATAATTTTAGTGTTCATTTTTTATTTTATGAAGGGAAGCAAGTGTGATGGTGCTTTATTCAGCATTATTGTCCCCCGTTGTGTGAAAAAGACCGGCTAGTATGATAGTAACTATGTAAATGGTTGTTGAACGTACAACACCGTTATTTAACTGGAAACTAGCACCAGTCACAGACACCTTTTCATATTCTTTGTGTGGTTTAGATTAAGTATAACCTGTGATGGAATTTGTCGACAATTTATGATTGGCAGCCTTATTGTGCATTTTGGTGTTGGTGGCGTATTTATGATGACCTGTGTTTTCATGGCTTTATTAAGATCTGGAGAATCAGGGCTGTGTGCTTGCGGGAGGCTGCGTTCAGGGCTGGCTTCCTGATTCCGCTGTCGTACTATGGCAGCGGATGCTTGGTTGCCTCGGTAACGTCAACAAGATCAAGGATCCAAAGATACACGCACAAGTGATGGAGTACATTTGTAACCTGTACAACGTGCTCCTCAAGGTAACACAAACTCGTTAAGGTGAACAATTAGTTGTAAGTTTATTAATTAAGCACAAACGTCAATGTTAAAGAGATAATTAACTCGCCAAGGTTACAAGTTAATGCCCTCTAATTACTTATTTGTTTTTACAAAAACTTGTAAACTTTAACATATTATTCTGATTTCCAAGTCTGCACTTGGTGCTTGTTACCCAAAGTGTTCTAGACCCTCTCTATGGTAAGATCTCATCTGTCTCACATAACAGTATTGCCTGATTACATGTGCAGGCAACACAATCTGTGAAAGAACTGTGAAGAAATACTGTGTCAATAGCAACTCGTGATCTTTTAATAGGTCGTCATGTTTACCTACAATAATTGGTGTGTGTCAGGTGAGACGTGCCGACACTCGTGCAGCCGCGGCACTGTAGACATTCGGAGGCTGTTAAAAGCAGAAATTGTAAATGCGAAGATTGTAAATGGGTATAAATTTTTTATTGTCAATATTGATGTTAGTTTTTGCTGATTTTGAGGGAGCGGTTGCCAGTATTTATCTTTGTGTTGTCGTCATTTGGTGCTGGTAATAAATTTTTACATTTGTGATGTTGTTTTTTGGCTATGTGTTAGCTGTGGTGGGTGCTGCTGCTTGCAGAATTACCTGTGTACTGTTGTGTTTTGTGTTGCTGTGTCCAAAGCGAGGAGGCTCGAAAACTTTTGTTTAATCGTCCCTTGTGCGTCAACCATTTTAATTTTCACACATGTATTGTTTTGTATTGTTTGAGGTGCTAAATACACAATAGCAAATAAGAAATATTCTTTACAGGTAAATAATAAATAATATCTATTTACAGGTAAATAAATCAATAATGATGATAACAATAATAAATATAATATCTATTTAAAGGTACGGCTCAATCAGGGAGTGAGCGGGGACAGCCAGACGTCGCCACCTCCACCAGCTCTCATCCCTCCGCTGCACGTGTTCGCACCTTGGCTGTTCCAAGTAAGTCTCGTCACTCCCTAGTAGATCTGCCTACCCCTGGCTGCTACAGATAAGTCGGCTGCACCTTGGCTGTTTCAAATATGTCCTCACCCCCTCTTCTGTGGTTGCACCTTGCCTGTTCCAGGTATGTGTCATCACTCCCCCATTTGTGTTTGAATGGTGTCTGTTGTAGGTATTTATTATATGTGTGATCCATCGTACAATACTAATACAGCTCTTGATACAAGGTCACAATATAGCTTTTTGTATTGTGACTTTTCGCAACTTCTAAAATCTACTTGTTTTTATTTACTACAGTGTTACAATGTACTTTTAATGAAATTAGTATAACTAGACTATTAGTTGATAAATTATCTCAAATTTATGAAAGATTCAAGCTTATGGTCACTTATTTAAACCAATGGTGACAGAGATGTGTTTCTTCGATTATCACTAGCATGTGATTGTGGATGTGTGTGTGTGTGCGCACGCGCCTGTGTGTGTATCGGTTACCGTTCATATTTATTGTTCATATACTGTTCATCATTTCATATTTGACGAGAGAATTTTGACATGTAACCTTTTGGCTATAAATGGTCTCTTGCATCGTTTTTTTTTGGTCGGTGTGTATGATAAAATTAAACTAAACTAGTGCACTGGCCTTGGCTATTGCTCTCTCACTGCAGTTGTTGGAAATCAACTTGACCTGCAAGTCTCGTTAAGTCTGGCCAGTCTGCTTGTGATACCAAAGTCCTGTCCACAAAACTCTTGGTTTTATTATTGTCTCTCTGCTCCCTTGTGTGTGTGTGTGTGAGCAGCACTATGGAGACTGGTAGGGTGCGGGTGTAATAGCAGCACCATTGAGTAGAGGCAGAGGTGTGGTAGAAAAGTCTGTAGGCAAGTAGGAAAATGTTTTGTATTAACAGGAGGCATATGAACACGGGCACATGTGTACGTTAGCACAGCACTGTGAGGCCAGGTAGGGCTGGGTGTGTTTGCAGAAAATGCTAGAGGCAGGTAGGGCAAATGTGGGTTCGGTTGTAACGTGATACCTGGAGAGCACTCAGCGCACATTGCTGAGCCTAATACACACATCCTGTTTGTACTCACAGCAGCAGAGTATGGATACCAGGCTGTAAGTGAGAGAGAGTCAGGGTATCATATGGCCAATCAATTATTTGTGATTGTGTTTATATAACGTGCATAAAATAACTAGGGGTGTGTGTGCATATGGGTTGTGTGTTCGTATGTATTTACGTGTGTGTGTACGTGCGTGTGTATAATATAAGTGCAGATTGATTCTCTTAAGTTCTTACTTGATACTCTCACAAATGCCAAACCGAGTAAAACCTGCATTTTTATGGAACTAAATTGAGGAATATAAAATTGTAAGAGTAGAAAAATTTACATACACATCTCTTAGCAAGTTTCTACTATGTCACTGTTTACTTATCTTACTTATGTCATCGTTTACTCTCTCATCAGTGGTGCTAGTTATTTACAGTCTTTAATGAGGTTGTTGATTACATGTTATTGTTTACAGTCATACGTGTGACATTGTTCATTTGTTGTTGTTGTTGTTCACAATTTCACCTATGTTATTCTTTACTTGTTGCTCACAGTCTCACTTATGTCATTGTTTGTGTTGTTGTTTACAGTCTCGTATGTCATTGTTTACTCTTTGTTTATAGTCGATACTTGAGCAGACGGATGAGTATAAAAAGGGGAAGCTGATTGCCTACAAGCTGCTGTGTATGGAGACATGTCAGAGGCATGACATTGAGCTACCGCCCGAGTATCTCTCACACCTCTACAGCATCCTTCACACGGGCCTTGTCAGCTCCGATCAGGTACGCACGCATTTACACAAGCACAGGTGCTGTGCATACCTGTGCACATGGGTCAGGAGTGCTTACCTGTATAGATAGGTCAGGTATGCTTACGGTATCTGTACAGAGGAGTGAGATTTACTACCTGAGAGAGGTGGGTCATATTATGTGTGTATATATATTATATATATATAATTTAGGTATAAACTCACTTAACCTGCATTGATATAGGGTCACCTGTTGTGACATTAATATGTGCATTCTCTAGAGCTGTCGATGGTTGTTCGGGTAGAGCGAGGGTGTCAGTGAGTCATCATGTGCTGCTGTATTTACTGCAGGACGTCGTGAACACGATCGTGCGCTACAGCAGTCCGCGCTTCTTCTCACTCTGTCTGCCCGGCGCCACCATGCTGCTGCAAGGCTACATGCACGCTGCCAACACCATCCTCGCCACGACGGGCATGAGAGAGGTAACCCCTACACTCGTACACACGCTCCCACGCACACACGCGCACACGCACACTCGTACACGCACCGAATGGCCAGTATTGCATGAGAGAGTAACCCCTACACTCGTACACACGCTCCCACGCACACACGTACACGCACACGCACCGAATGGCCAGGATTGGCATGAGAGAGGTAACTCCCACACTCGTACACACGCTCCCACGCACGCACGCGCACCGTACACTCGTACACGCACACGCACCGAATGGCCAGTATTGGCATGAGAGAGGTAACCCCTACACTCGTACACACGCTCCCACACACGCACGCACACCGCACACTCGTACACGCACACGCACCGAATGGCCAGCATTGGCATGAGAGAGGTAACTCCTACACTCGTACACACGCTCCCACGCACGCACGCACGCACGCGCACCGCACACTTGTACACATCGCACGCCGGACATGACCAGCATGCATGCAGAGAGGTAACCCACACACATCGTACACACGCACGCCGAATGACCAGCATTGGCATGAGAGAGGTAACCCACACACCATCAACACGCTCACACGCACGCACGCGAATGACCAACATTGGCATGAGAGAGGTAACCCCACACTCATACACACGCTCACACACGCACGCACGCATGCTGAATGACCAGCATGGCATGAGAAGAGGTAACCCACACACTCGTACACACGCTACGCACGCACGCGCACTGAATGACCAGTATTGGCATGAGAGAGAGGTAACCCCACACTCGTACACACGCTCCCACGCACGCACGCCGAATGACCAGCATTGGCATGAGAGAGGTAACCCCCACACTCGTACACACGCTCGCACGCACGCACGCACGCTGAATGACCAGCATTGGCATGAGAGAGGTACACCACACACTCGCACGCACGCACGCACGCACGCGCACTGAATGACCAGCATTGGCATGAGAAGAGGTAACCCACACACTCGTAACAACCGCTCGCACGCACGCACGCACACCGAATGACCAGCATTGGCATGAGAGAGGTAACCCCCACACTCATACACATGCACGCACGCATGCCGAATGACCAGCATTGGCATGAGAGAGGTAACCCCCACACTCGTACACAACGCTCGCTCGCACGCAGACGCTGAATGACCGAGCATTGGCATGAGAGAGGTAACCCCCACACACTCGTACACCACGCTCCCACACACGCACGCGCACCGAATGACCAGCATGGGCATGAGAGAGGTAACCGCACACACTCGTACACACGCACGACGCTGAATGACCAGCATTGCATGAGAGAGGTAACCCGACACACTCATCAGCACGCTCGCACGCACGCACGCTGAATGACCAGCATTGGCCATGAGAGAGGTAACGCCACACACTCGTACACACCGCACGCACGCACGCACGCCGAATGACCAAGCATTGGCATGAGAGAGGTAAACCCCTACACTCGTACACACGCTCGCACGCGACGCACGCATGCTGAATGACCAGCATTGGCATGAGAGAGGTAACCCACACACTCGTACACACGCACGCACGCACGCACGCCTGAATGACCAGCATTGGCATGAGAGAGGTAACCCACACACTCGTACACACGCCTCGCACGCACGCGCACTGATGACAGCCATTGACATGAGAGAGGTAACCCCTACACTCGTACACACGCTCGGCTCGGCACGCACGCACGCACGCTGAATGACCAGCATTGGCATGAGAGAGGTAACCAACACACTCGCACGCATGCCACGCACGCTCGCACGCACGCACGGCTGAATGACCAGTATTTGCATGAGAGAGGTAGCCCCCACACTCGTACACACGCTCGCACGCACGCACACACGCACACCGAATGGCTAGCATCGACACAAGAGACGCAACCCCCACACTCGTACACTGACATGAGAGAGGTATCCAACACGTGTCTATGCACACAACGCTTTACACCGCACACCTACACACCTGTGCTGAGATGTAACCTAGACTCACACACGTAATTATGGTACACGCGCGCGCGTGCATGCTGATGGAGGTAAACCATACACGTGTACTTACAGTACACAGTCATGTATGCGTACATGCTAAAAGAGGTAACACACACGTGTACTTATGGTACACATGCGCACGTGCTGGCTGATAGAGGTAACCCCTAAATATGCGATAAGTTCTAGATTACAAACATGCAGTCTTGGCACGTAGAGATGCACAGACATATAGATAAACGGATACACCCATATACATGCATACACGCACTCACTCGCGCACACACGTAGCAATACTAACCTTGCACGACACTCAACGTTGATGTCGCACTTTAATTGCAGTCGTGAATTAACAGTGTATAACCGTGTGTACTTCCTGTGCACACCATTTATTTTCAGCTAGCTAACCCTCTGTGAAATCACTAGTGTGCTCTGAATGCATCCAATAGGCTTGTCATGCATGGCATTAGCACGTAACATCCAAGTTTTTGAATCCTGTATTTGTCATTAGGGATTTGATGTATATTATGTTTATATATATATATATATATATATATGTATATATATATATATATATATATATATACATGAATATGCATATCTGTATATATAATATACATATAACAGATAATTAATAAATATATTATATTCATTTATTATCTATTTATATTGTATGCACACGTATATGTATACAATATAAAAAGCAAAGTATAGTTTTGCGCTGGCTCCTTCATTGCATTTGTTTGCTTACATGCAGCGTGGGTATGAGCCATCAAAGAAGATGTCACTCTTCGAATTCCTGATCGTTTTACCCAATTGTGTCATAGTGCTTCCATCTCTCGCGGCAAGGACAAGTTTAATTTACGTTTATTATGTGTACCCACTGTTTAGCACATACTACTTTCTGATGTCACACCGCCTGCCGTTGCATGGGGGTTGTCCGCGCAGGCATGCACACCGAATGGTGTAATGTGCATGAATGTAATAAATGCCTTTAATGTCTGTATGGTTTGGGTGTTTCTGATGCTAGAGCAATGATTTCCTGAGTAATGTGACATACAGGTTGATGATGTAGCATTACTTCTTAATCCGGCAGCCTGTACCTGCAACTCAGTAAATAAGTGACAAAATAACTTATATAATATAGTCACCGTAAAAATAACATTCAGCCGCACATGGCTCCTTATTAGTATAATAGGTTTAGTGTAAATATGATAAAATAGGTCTTATTAAACCAATGTCTCTACACAACTTGCTTAATAGCATCTATTATAAATGTCAGACACATAACTAAACCAGCCTGTATTAATGGGTGATGGACAGTAATACCTTATTATTAATCCATTTCCTTTTCCTTACAACTCATTTGCATTTTTATGGACTGTTTGTATTTTTTATTATGTAATCATTACTTGGCAATCTTTTATAATTTGTTAGAATTGTATCTAATTGATGATAAATCTACCACCAGTGATGATTTGATACTTGTAATAATCGTAATATAAGCTAGAATTAATGCCTTCCAATTATTAACCTAGAGGAAACTCCATAAAAGAGAGTAGTAAACAGATTCCAATATTGTCGAGTATTGTGTATCGTTAATTATCATGCGTAAGATCGAATGATGCTGAAGCTGTGACTTATGCTGAAGTGATGAACTTATGCTGAAGCTTGTGACTGATGCTGAAGCTGCTGGCTATGCTAAACATGTGACTGATGCTGAAGCTGTGACTGATGCTGAAGCTGTAACTGATGCTGAAGCTGTGACTGATGCTGAAGCTGTGACTGATGCTGAAGCTGTGACTGATGCTGAAGCTGTGACTGATGCTGAAGCTGTGACTGATGCTGAGGCTGAAGCTAGGTGAGAATGAAAACTGGCCGACAGCACATCAGTGACGATGTATTCCGCTCTTGCAGGAGCGAGGACCGAAGCCGTGTCACTGCTCGGTCTCTCATCTGCTTTGCTAACCTGTACGGCTCGATGCCCGTGCTGCAGACACGCGTCGCTGACAGCGGCACACCCGGTGTCGAGCTGCCTACGCCCGGCCCGGAGCTGCTCACGCGTGAGCACGCCAAGGACATCATCATCAACGCGCTGATGAGATGTGGACGCAAGAGCCAGCTGGACTGGCTAGGTACGCTCACTGAACTCCATCTCACCTTATTCTCATCGCTCGCTGTCTCTCTCTCTTGATCGCTCTCTCTCTCTCTCTCTCTCTCTCTCTCTCTCTCTCTCTCTCTCTCTCTCTCTCTTTCTCTCTCTCCCTCTACCCTCTCACTTGATTTTCTCTGTGTCTCTCTGTGTCTCTCTATCTTCCTCTCTCTCTCTCTCTCTCTCTCTCTCCTCTCTCCTCTCTCCTCTCTCCTCTCTCTCTCCTCTCTCTCTCCTCTCTCTCCCTCTCTCTCCCTCTCTCTCCTCTCTCTCTCTCTCTCTCTCTCTCTCTCGCTCTCTCACACACTCTCTCTCACACACTCTCTCTCTCTCTCTCACACACTCTTCTCTCCTCTTCTCTCACACCACTCTCTCTCTCTCTCATCTCTCACACACTCTCTCTCTCTCTCTCACCACACTCTCTCCTCTCTCTCTCTCTCACACACTCTCTCTCTCTCTCTCCTCTCACACTCTCTCTCTCTCTCCTCTCTCTCTCTCTCTCGATCGCTTTTTCTCGCTCTGTCTCTCGGCCGCTCTCTCTTTCTCTCTGACTCTCACACTCTGTGCATTATTTGTATTAGAATATCTCAAAAAACAAAACAAATAGGAATGTCGCGTGCATGGCACAGTAAATCAACTACGAATCATGGAACGGTAACACTAGCAATGGGTTTTCTTATTAGTATTTATTTTGCATTTAACAATATTTTATTTCTTCATTTCGATAACTACCAATAAGCACATAAAAGACTAGAATCTTACTCACTTATCGTTAAACGATGGCGTGTGTCTATATTGATGCGTCCCCCAGATCGCATGTGCGTGTCTGCATATGTGGATGTGTGCTTGTGCATGTTGTTACATGTCAGCTGCGCTTGTGTTTGACAGGTGTATTGCGATCAGCACATCGGCATCTATCTGCTACGAGGAACTCACTCATGCCACCTTCCATTCCAAGATGAGAGAGGCTTTCGATGTTCTGCTGCTCGCACTCAGGGCAAGTGTTATCGTCGTCATTGCTTCACGTATATATCGTAGCGTACGGCAATTGTTACATCGTCAGTAGCGTACCGTGCATCACTCGGGCACGGCTGTTGACGTCTAAACACCTTACACAGTCCAACCGCAAGTAAATGCCAAAAGTGTCCTTTATAGAGAGGTGACTGCTAACATGTTTGATTGTACGTGCGTGCACACACTTGCGCGCACGTCTGTATAATCCTGCTCACCATCGTCGCTGACATGATCAGGCTTGGCGTGACCCATTACATCAACCTGAACAGTGCAACCAGCTGTGATCTAGACCCAGCAACGATCGTGTCTCAGAATAATGTCAGATTGTCGAGTTTACTATAGAAACAATGCGCTGCCAATTGGTTGTTGGGGGAGCTAATTTGACAGAACTAGAGCAGTATGTCACGGGGCTGTCATGTGACGAACGATCGGGTGGATTGGTGCCGTGCATTAGATAGTATTGTCGGGCGGTCTATTGCAGACACATGAGCCTGCTATGCAGGTAGACATCGTGAATGTGTGTGCCTGATGGATGATTAGTTGTCTCAGCACAACCTCAACCAATTTCACACTTACATCTTTGTACAACTGCTGTAAAACAAGCTGACATTGCTGGCACTGCTACATTTGTCACCTCCAACCAAATAATCACCACTCCAAGTATAATACTACAAAATAAAAATAATAATCTTAATAAAAAAAATTAAATTCACTTTCAGATGACCAAGGTCAAATAACTTTTTCGTAATGAAGTTACGAAGGCACACAAATAATATGGGCATTTCGCACCTAATGCTGCCATAGCCGCTTAGTATATTAGCATATTAGTCAATCCCAAACCAAATAATCACTACTCCAAATGTAATGCACAAAATATAAAAAATAAATAAAGTTCAAATGACTTTTCGGTAATGCGGGTTACGAAGGCACACAAAATGATATTGGTCACAAAATGTTAGCATAAACGCACCTCAACCTATGTAATATAACAGAGACGATGAAGGGGAACCGTGAATATGTCACGCAAGTTTGCCCTGACAGGCGAGTAACGTTCGTTGCCGTGGCGTTACAGTTCAACAAACATGGCGGGGCGCGCGTAGCGACGGACAGTCTGCTGATTGCCGCTGCGACCACGCACGTCTCATCGTGCCACAGCTTCCCCGACCTGCCCGGCAAGATCATCCAGGAGGCTGTCGACCGCCATCTCCAGCCTCCTCATCAGCGAGCCGTCGTCGGGAGACATGGGCAAGAAGGTAGGACCATCGATATCCAATAATAATACACGAGATACTAGGATATCCCGGCATTCGCTGCGCCGCGGGTGTGGGGCGAGTGGCGTGTGGTAAGTGTGATCGTAGAGAGACACGGGAAAGAATGCAGGATATTCTGGCGGTGATGGTGGTGGGAGGATACAGTGGAAGAAAGTAGATGTTCTCTGTGTGGTGGTGGGGGTGGGGGCACTAAACGCGTAGTCATCGGAAAACATGGTGTATGAAAGTAGGCTAGGGGCGGGCTCTTTGGTAAGCATGGTCTTCTTGAGAGTGGCGTGATGGTCGTTCCGTGCGAATCATGATGACATTACTGGTCAACTGTCTAGCAGGCTTACAGACTTATGACACAGTGTAATGTCATGACGTCAGTTGTGCTGTGCAATTTCAGCTTCGTAGTGGGACAACTTAGTGTGTTAACCAAACCACCAACAAGTTAGCCATGTGACCGCATTTTCTCGTCAAGTGACTGTTGGTCTTCTTTTTTAGCTCATCTGACATAGTCAGATGCAGCTTGTAGAATCGCATGATCGTCCGTCCGTCCGTCCGTGCGAGCGTCCGTCCGTCGTGCGAGCGTCCGTCGTCCGTCCGTCAACAGTTGGGCACAAATCTTAACCGCTCGACGTACGGTCACGATATTCGGAAGTGGGGGGGTGTAATCCGAAAACAGAGTTGGATGTCGAAGCTGGGGTCAAAGGTCAAAGGTCAAGAGGTGTAAAAGAAGGGGAAACATTCCCTCCTTAAACTTAAGGTATAGGGAGGAAATGCAGAATTGCGGCACAAATCTAAACGGCTCGACCTAGGCTCGTGATAGTCGGTGTATAGCATCATGGTAGGAAAAGCCATCACTGTGCTGAAATTGGAGGTCACAGGTCAAAGGTCAAATGGGGCACAGGGCAGATTTTAGACATTTTCTCGAGGACATGGTGGCTGACGCAGCGATTGAAAAAACTTTTTGTTTTCAGCGGTGACCTACCATTTTTATGGCTTTATTGAAAGGACCATGAAATGTGCTTTCCACTGACGTGCGAAGAGTAAGTGTCTGATAACCTTTTGACCCTCAAGAGGAGGGTTAAACATGGATTTGTTGACTGTTAACAAAGGAGTGAACTGCTTTTGCTATTAGAGCCCCTCCCCCCACCCTCCCCACCCTCCCCCCGCCCCTTCCCCCACCCTCCCCTACCCTCCATCTGCTGCGATAGGTGGGCATGTCCTAACAATGAGATGTGTACGCAACTGCGTGTCTGCATATCTGCACCTAACAAATGTGGTACTACGCACGACTGAAATTTTACGTTTATAACCGTAGCAACACACCTCAGATGAGCCCAGACGCTCTGCGGCTCTTGTTGACTGCTCGTCGTATAACCGTTTACTCTTGTCGTGTGACTGCTTACTGTGCGTGAGCTTTGGCAAAGTGGGCCGTCAGTCGAGGGCCTGGCTGAAGCTCTTCTTGCAAACGTCACAGCGATACGGTTTCTCACCGGCTGAGTGCGCATGTGCTTGTGCAGGTCCGACACAGATGCAATGCGCAGCTTACACACGTCGCACTGGTACCGTCTCTTCCCAGTGTGCACTTGCTCGTGCGAAACAAGATGCTGCTTGCGAGCGAACGTCGCTGCACAAGTATCGCACGCAAATGGTTTCTTGCCGGTGTGAACCATGAGATGCTTCTTCAGGTCGGAATGTGTCGCACTGCGTTGCTCGCACACGTGGCAGGTGTACGGTTTCTCTCCCGTGTGTATGCGCAGATGTGACTTTAGATGCCCGTTGATCTTAAACCGTGCTGGACACACTGTGCAGCTGTAGGGTCTCTCACCTGTGTGTATGCTGCGTGTGTGCTTGTTTAAGTTTGACAGGCTGCGGAAAGCCCACTGACACACTTTACACTTGTGGGGGTCTCCTCCGTGTGTGTGGAGCATGATGGTCCATCAGTCGCTGCCGTATTTTGAACGTTGCACCGCACACGTCACATTTGTACGGTCTCTCGTCGCTGTGTCTGTGCATGTGGCTTATCACACCATGCCGAGTTTTAAACGTCGCTGCACACACGTCACATTTGTGCGGCCTCTTGTCGCTGTGCTTAAGTGCGTGGTTCTTTAGTACTTCTTTAGTTTTAAATGACAACACACATACATCGCATTGGTATGGTCGATCTTTTCTGTGCGTTTTCATGTGAATTCTCAACGACTGTTGAGTTTTAAATGACGCCTCACACACGTCGCATCCGTACGGTCTATCTTTCTGGTGCGTGCGCATGTGATACGCCAGTCCTTCGTGAGTCTCATACGGCAACCGACAAACGTCACATGTGTACATTTTCTCTTCCGTGCACTGGCTCGCACGCTGCTTCGCGTCGCGCGGCGTCCCGGTGTCTGCGCACGCGGCCGGCTGGCGAGGCGCCCGTCGTCTGACGCGCTGCTTCGCGCTCGCGCCGGCGTCCCGGTGTCCGCGCACGCGGTCGGCTGGCGAGCGCGCCGTCGTCTGACGCGCTGCTTGGCGTCGCGCGGCGTCCCGTGTGCCGCGCACGGCTCCGCGTCGCTGCGCGACGGCGCCCGTCGCTCCTGCACGCGCTGCCTTCGGCGGTCGCGCGGCGTCCCGCGTTGTCGCGCACGGCGGTCGCTGGCGAGGCGCCCGTCGTCTGACGCGCTGGCTTCGTCGGCGTCCCCGTGTGGTCTGCGCAGGCGGCCGGCTGGTAGGCGCCCGTCGTCTGACGCGCTGCTTCGCGTCGCGCCGGCCGTTCCCGGGTGTCTGCGCAGGCGGCCGGCTGGTGAGCGCGCCCGTCGTCTGACGCGCTGCTTGCGTGTCGTGCGGCGTCCCGCCGTCGTCCGTCGTCGCCGCGTGCAGGGTCATGTGCGAGCGGAGCACGGAGGCGGCGATGAAGGCGGCGCCGCAGACGTCGCACGCGTACGCGCGCTCGCCCGTGTGCGTCGCGATGTGCACGTGCAGCACGTCGAGACGCACGAACGCGAGTCCGCAGATGTCGCACGCGTACGACTCGCCAGGTGGCGCCTCTGCCAGTTTTTCAGTACCGACTCGCCAGGTGGCGTGTTGCCAAGTAGCCGGATCTTGCAGTGGCGTTTTCGTTGCCAGAGGTAGCCGATCCCACCAGGTGGCCGCTTCACAAGTTAGCGATTCACTAAGGGTCGTGTGCTTTACCAAGTACTGATTCGCCAGGTAGCGGTGAGATGTCAGTTAATGACTTACGAGGTGGCAACTCGACAAGTGGTGATTCGCGATGCAACGACTTGCTAGACTCGCCGACGGAATACTCGCAGTGTTGCCGCGGCACCGACTCTTCGGGCATGCTGTAGGTGGCGCCGGTGTTGCAGCCCTCTGTCGCGGTGTGTCTATCCCAGCAGTGCTCACATTTCACGATGGACTCACTCGCCTCGTTCACGGCACCGAGACCGCACGAGTCGCGCGCGAGTGTCTGGCCGCCAGGTGGAGTGAGCAGCTCGCTCTTGCAGTCTTGTTGGAGCAGTATGTTGCTCATGGTCACATTACAGGCGAATCTCACATGTGCTCTTTCTCCAGGATTCTCAACCAATTCTGAAAATCATGATAACACTTTTATCTCTCGCATTTTCTCTAGCTCTCTCTCTCTCTCTCTCTCTCGCTCTCTCTCTCTTGCACTCTAATCCGTTCTCTTGTTTCGTTTGGTTTCCTCTCTGTCATTTGGTTCAGTCTGTGATAAAATGTGTTATTGGGGTTATTACACTGACACAAAGGTGTTATATCGATATACGTTAATATATCAATATAAAAGTACTGAACCTATTATCACTGCCCAACACTTACACGACAGCTCATGTTAAAATGAGAATATAATTTGGTTTAGATATAGAACCATATGAAATTGCACTATGCTATAAGACTTCATACCCACCTTTTTTTACTCGAGCCATCTGTGATTTTGCCAACTGTTAATATCAAACCTGATCAATTCCTTTGGCCTTGACGCTTGTGAGTTTACGGCTCTAGAATGCACACCTCTACTCCTGTAACAACATGGAGAAGCTGTGTAACTAGTTAACGCCATTCTGATTCACACACATTATACTACGATTTTGGACGTAGTCCAGGGGTGGAGACTCGACCAATGATTGTGTACATTGTATTATTTTTGTTCTCATAGCCTGTATCATAGACTAAGAATATTCTTAGTCTATGCCTGTATCTTTGTGTTTGTTGTTACACTACAATGAGTGGCCCAAGGATATAAGAGCTGTCCACATTTTCACATTTGCACATGTCGCACATTGCGAAAATGAATTGTGGTCAGCGCTTATATCCATGAACCCAATGAGTATGCATGATTCCATTTTATTTGTTAATCGATGTAGAACCGCTATAGTATTGTGCTTAAATGACTCGTTACCCAAGATTCCTACTTGGTGACGAAGATTCCTGCTTGTTCAAAGATTCAAATTCCTATTTACAAAGGTCAATGTTGGCAGCTCTGGTATTGAGTATTGTTATCCTTAAATGCCAGGTATCTATGCTAGTAGTAGTAGCCTAAAAATAGTCTCATGGTCTAGCAGTAGGGATAAAAGAAGGCTAACGCTCCATTAGGAGTGTTCCCAACTTTGATATCATTAATGATTAATGATTGATAATCCTAAATATGTATACAATATAAAAAGCAAAGTATAGTTTTTGCGTGCTCTTCATTGCATTTGTTTGCTTACATGCAGCGTGGGTATGAGCCATCAAAGAAGATGTCACTCTTCGAATTCCTGATCGTTTTACCCAATGTGTATAGTGCTTCCATCTCTCGGGCAAGGACAAGTTTAATTTACGTTATTATGTGTACCCACTGTTTAGCACATACTACTTTCTGATTCACACCGCCTGCCGTTGCATGGGGGTTGTCCGGCAGGCATGACACCGAATGTGTAATGTGCATGAATGTAATAAATCCCTTTAATGTCTGTATGGTTTGGGTGTTTCTGATGCTAGAGCAATGATTTCCTGAGTAATGTGACATACAGGTTATGAGTGAGCATTACTTCTTAATCCGGCAGCCTGTACCTGCAACTCAGTAAATAAGTTGACAAAAATAACTTATATATAGTCACGTAAAAATAACATTCACACACATGGCTCCTTATTAGTATAATAGTTAGTGTAAATATTATAAAATAGGTCTTATTAACCAATGTCCTCTACACAACTTCTTGTAAACATGCATCTATTATAATGTCAGATCACATAACTAACCAGCTGTATTAATGGGTGATGGACAGTAATACCTTATTATTAATCCATATCATTTTCCTTACAACTCATTTTCATTTTTATGGACTGTTTGTATTTTTTATTATGTAATCATTACTCGGCAATTTTTTTTATGATAATTTGTTAGAATTGTATCTAATTGATGATAAATCTACCACCAGTGATGATTTCATACTTGTAATAATCGTAATATAAGCTAGAATTAATGCCTTCCAATTATATTAACCTAGAGGCAACTCCACAAAAGAAAGTAGTAAACAGATTCCAATATTGGCGAGTATTGTGTATCGTTAATTATCATGCGTAAGATCGAATGATGCTGAAGCTGTAACTGAGGCTGAAGCTGTGACTGATGCTGAAGCTGTGACTTATGCTGAAGCTGTGACTGATGCTGAAGCTGTGACTGATGCTGAAGCTGTGACTGATGCTGAAGCTGTGACTGATGCTAAACATGTGACTTATGCTGAAGCTGTGACTGATGCTAAACATGTGACTTATGCTGAAGCTGTGACAGATGCTGAAGCTGTGACTGATGCTAAAGCTGTGACTTATGCAACATGGTCTTTATGCTGAAGCTGTGACTGATGCTGAAGTGTGACTGATGCTAAAGCTGTGAACTGATGCTGAAGCTGTGACTGATGCTGAGGCTGCAATCTAGTGAGCAATGAAAACTGCCCAACAGCTACATCAGCTGACGATGTTATTCCGCTCTCTGGCAGAGCCGAGGACCGAAGCCGTGTCACTGCTCGGTTCTCTCATCTGCTTGTGTAACTGTACGGCTCGATGCCCGTG